GGGCCCCAAGAACGGCCTGAAAAGGGCCCCAAAACAGCCTGAAAAGGGCCCAAAAACAACTTGAAAAGGGCCCGAAAAACAGCCTGAAAAGGGCCCAAAAACAGCCTGAAAACAACCCGAAAAACAACCAAAAATGGCCAAAATAACAGGCATGCACGCACCGCCCAGCTGGTTCTCCCAATGTCCCAGAACACACACACACATGCATGCACATACACGTGCATTCTGGTTTGGGCGCTCGGTGCCAAAAAGATTCGCCCTCATTGTCCTAGGTGGTATCCTTAGGAAGCTGTTAATGTTGCTTTTCCCCATCTTCTTGTTTTTGATGATTCATCAGATTTGAGAATCTATTAACTCAGAGCTTAATTAAGACTTTTGTCTATAATTTGCATGCATTGGAATACCCAAACCTGTCTTATTGTTTGCAAATCTGTGTGATAGAAATACAAAAAAAAAAAAAAAAAGTGTCAAGTGTCTTCTGAGTCAAACTGATAACTTTCTGAAGTTGTCCATTGAGTGAGCTTGGCAACTATATTGTAGTGGTTTTCTTTCGTTTAGGATTTTGTCCCCTACTGCAAATTTAGCCTACAGATCTGGTATATTTCTGGTGGTCTCATTTCTAAGCAGTAGGGTAGTCTCTGATCCTGTTTAGCTTTTCAACAGCTCAAATTTTCCTAAGATAATAGACTTTTTTTTCTTTTTTTTCCCCCTTCTAATATGCTTTCTTTTAAAAAAAAAATAATGATGAGCTGTGATAGAGAAATTGGAGAATTGCAGATTTCAAACGATAATGAAGTTTTGTTTTGCCTTCTGTATGGAAATGCAAAAATTTGATAAGTTCATATTCAAAAGAGAAGCTCAATGAATTTCTCTCCTCTCTCGACTGCAATTCCTGCTTTGTTTCAAACATTCATTGATAAACTTGGTTACTGAATGCATTTTCCTCATCTGTGACTATGCCAGGAGAGTTAAGAAAAGAACATACCAACAAAAATAAAAATGGTTAAAAGAGAATATGAAATTAAAAATGCTAAAAGGCTGGTTATATTTATGTATATGTAAATTCTATATATACACATAATGTATATACATATACAATATAGAAGAGAATATATACATACAAAAAGAATAAAGCTGTTTGGTTAATAACCACAATAAAGTTAACTGAGCATACATATCAAATTATATTTCTTCCTCATCCAGGCGCTAAGTCTATCCCTCTGCATAAGAGACAGGTTGTTTTCCCCCTTTCCTGTCTGTTCTAAAAGCTTCTACCTGAGATACGTGTTGTGACAGCAAGACAAATTTGGAGAACTACACCCACAGTGGTGAATTTACCTCCTCAAATGGTGAAAACTTGGTTCCTTGGCAGTTCCTCACTCGTACATGTCAAACTTCTCATCACACTTGATTAACCCACACAGTTATGGGCCAGCAAATACTTCATTGACAAGACAAAGTAAAGTTTAATTGCTGTTATTTTCATGATAAATGAAGTCTTTGTAGAGTGAGCTTTCCCCAAGTTAGATGATGCAGCCATCAAATTGGGCAGGAGATGAAATATGAGAGCAGGTTTCAGCTGAGATCATCGATCTGCATCTTCCCAAGCCCCATCTCCCGCTCTCTTCCCGAAGAAAAATTGAGGCACCATTAGTATAACTTAAAATGTCTGAGGTTATCTTTCAACCTCTTTGACAGAGAAGTTTGACAGATGTGGGAAAAAAAACCAGCCAAAATGGCTTATCTGTGCAGAAACAAGAATAAAAAAAGTATTCTAGAAAATTACACTTCAAGTAATTAAAGGCTTTTGTTGGTTAAGTACTTGGCTTAGATCAGCCTGAAAGATTTGGGGGGAAGAAAATAAATCTTGCATTCCTTCTTTTTTTTTTCTTTTTCCTCCTCTTCATCTTAGGCTGCAATATGCTTTCTCATGGGGGTTACAAAAATTTGTGGTGCGGTTATTGCACAATTGGCAAAAATAGAACGGCGTAAGTAAAATGGAGACAGCAAATTGTACACATGCTTTAGAAAATGGGTAGACAACCAGGACTCCCCTAGTCTGCTTTTTGTGTTTCTCATGGGTCTTTCTTGACCACTTTTGTAAAACTCAGAAACAGTTTTTATGTCAGGAAACACACACAAAAATCGTTATATGACTCTATAATAAGTCCAGCTGCAGAATACGCTTAACTTAGTTTACAAACAATGGCCTCCATCATCAAATGGAATAAAAATGAAGGTGCTGGTCTTACTAACTTACATGGTATGTACTGTGCATAATTAGTTATTATGGTCTACGCTGATATTAATTCTGGCCCTTACCATTGAAAGGTTGACTTCTCTGTTTCAATATGACCACATCTTCATCATTTCTTAAAACAAAATGAAACATTCTATTTCTTTATTTATTAAAAGAAATGTCAATTGCAGATGGCTAATAGATGTATTTTTTTTTGGCAACAAAATGGAAGTGGTTTACTATTACCTTACTCTTTCTCTTGCCCCCTCTCTCCCCCTCCTCTTTTCCTTCCCTTTCTTTCTCTCTCCCTCCCTGTCTCCCTCTTTCTCTCCAACTCTCTTACACCTCCTCTCTCTCTCCCTCACTCCCTTCCTCAGTTCTTTTCTTTCACCTTCTGTCTCTCCCTTTCCCTCTCCCTTTCTCTCTTTCTCCCCACTCCCTCTCACACGCACACTGCCAGTCTAGTTTCTGGTTCTGTCAGTCATTCATCCAAGTACTTATCTGCTCCAACCTATCTTATTTTCTTTTAATTTATTTGTACAACAAAATAAAATTATTACTGTGTCCTAAATGACTGCAAAAGTAGTCAAATAAATGACTGCAACAGGTAGACAGACCTTGTAAAGATGAATTCTGCTTTTATCTGCCATTAAAAACTTCCTGACCTTTCATCTGAAACTTACCAAAAGAAAATAAGTGAACTTATTTTATTGGGGGAAGATGTTCCAGAAATTAGAGCTAGGCATGGTTCATTTATATAGGAGCTCACATATTGTTGGGGAAACCAAGCCATTATGCTAAGCCGTGAAATGATTTATTAGGGCAAGCGTGTTATATAAGTACACCACTGGAGTTTTCTTAATCCAGGTTTAGGATTTAGTGTGTTGTGAAAGTAAAGTCCTTTTAAGCCCATCCAATTTAAAACCAGGAAGAAGATTGTCTCTGTTCATCAAATGAAAAGAAAGTTATTTCTTCTTTTTTTGCAATTATACACACTTGCATTAAGTGGATAAATAGAATCTCCTTTTCATGAAATGGGCTGAAATTATATCCCGGTATTGAAGAAAAAGTCAATTGATAGAAAGGGTTTTGTAATAAAAGATGCATATATTCCCCCTTCATTTAATGGCCACTTCCAATAAAAGTGTGTGTGTGTGTGTGTGTGTGTGTGTGTGTGTGTGTGTGTCTGTGTGTGTGTGGAGTGGTGGCTTTAAAAGGTATTCTGGAAAAGATACACTTCAAAGGACACGATACAATCCTTTAACTTTAAAAGATATAATATAAAAATTGTACAGTCATAACCAGCATTAATTTGAACACCATGCCATAACTTCAAATTCACCAGCTTTGGTTTCCTGTCTTTACTACAGGTTGGAAATTAAATCCAGTTGTTGGCGCAGTCTATAGTCCAGAATTCTATGCAGGTAAGCAGACGTGCTACAAAATCTTAGTGATGGCAGATAACAGGATTATCCAAATGATTTCATTGGTTGCTGTTGGCCTGTTTCTTTGATGAATGTGACAGAAGCCTCTCTTTCAGACAGAATTCAGTTATATGTATTAAGCGACAGCAAATACAATTTCCTAGAATCCACTAACTTTTAATTCTCTTTTGTTCAAACCATTGGTTTAATGGCAACATGCCAAATTATGTATTATTAGAGAGAAAGGTTTGCCATCCAAAAAGGCATTGGTATAACCTTATTATTTCCTATAGTACCCAAAGTTTGCTACTGTTTTACACAAATCATCAGATCTCTATGAGATCCTTCAAAGGCTTTTCTTCCAAGGACCTTCTGTATCACAATTGTGCCAAGGAACCAAACTCAGAAACTTTTCAGCCTGATAGAAAATAATTAATAATAATAATAATTAATAATTTCTCTGAAGAAGACATCACTTTAAAACGGGATTACAATCTCCTGGTTGTTGTAGGAGATGACCAGGCTGAACCCGAGGAGGGGTCAAATGCAGCATAAGTCATGAATCCACGCGCACCACAAGGGATCTGAATCCAGCTCATCTTGAATGCCTCCCTTATCTCCCGGTCATTTTCCTTAATGGCCAGTTGGTCAGATTCTTACACAGAGTTTAAATTTGCAATAACTCTTTATACTCATTTATACTGCCTGAATCTTCGGATTTCCCCGGTACTTGACAGTTGCCAATTTAATGTCTGACTCTCTCTCTTTCTTTCTCTCTCTCTCTTTCTTTCTGTCTCTTTTTCTCTCTCTCTCTTGCTCTCTCTCTCTCTCTCTCTCTCTCCACCCTCTCTCTCCCTCTTCCTCCCTCCCTCCCACTTTCTCTTCTTAAATGTACTACTCTTTGCATAGAGACCTTGCTCAAATATAGGGGTTGCACGGTTTTCTTAATGCTATCATTAATATTATGGGTATGTTGTACTATTTGGACTTTTATTAACAGGTTCTTCAGAATACATATGGGCAATGTGCATATTCTGTATAAAAGGGTTATGTGTTTTCTGAGTATGCACAATAGCATGGAATCCCAGTTAGAGGGCTTTGGCAATATGCTTTCAAACTGATGTGGGGTTGTGCTGTTGGCATCTTCTTAAATAGATTTATTTCTAGGTTTGCAAAGCTACTGTACTAGATGAGTTAGGAAAATATATGCACTTGTATCTGCTCTAAAAGATTTTTCAACTTTAAAGCTGATACAGATTTTTAGTTTTATATGCAGTCAAGCCAAGTGTGACCACAGTATGAACATCCACATTTGCACATATGACATAGATATCTATAGGAAGGATTTAGTCTCTACAATTTGCTACCCCAATCTTAACCATAGCCAATGAAGTGTAGCATACAGAGGTTGTTAAGCAGCTGAAATGAAATCCCCACTTTAGGCATTGTCTGAAATATTTTTATAAGTTTTCACTGATGAGGCCAAGCAGCTGGGTGATGTTATCTCAGGCAGTAAATAGGATGAAAACTAGATAAATGAATTTTTTTATAGTGACTTCCTGCCCCTAGCAATGCCCTCTGATGCTAATGCATTCTGAAGGCTGGGCTTGGTTTATCCCCATTGTTCCACAAATACTTAGGAATATAATAATTAGAAATACAAAATATCTACCAGTGCCAGAAAATTCTTTCTCAGTGAGGAGTTAAGAAGCCACGCAAATATTTAATTAATTTTTCAACACTTTTATTTATTATTTATTCAATATTTTTTGTTGAATACATTTATTCAACCCTTATTAAAATGGAAATGGAAAATATTGACAACATATTGCATGTTATCTTCATCCATCCATCCATCCATTTTGTTGTGTTGTGTTGTGTTGGGTTGGGTTGGGTTGGGTTGGAATAATAATGGAATAGGTAGGATAGAAAATGGAATAAGAATAGAATATGAAATAATTAGAATAGAATAGATAAAATAATAGAATGGAATGGAATGGAATAGAATAGAATAGAATAGAATAGAATAGAATAGAATAGAATAGAATAGAATAGAATAGAAAATAGGGGATGGGATGGGGTGGGGTGGGGTGGGGTGGGGTGGAGTGGAGTGGAGTGGAAAATAATCAAGGAGAGAAGCAACCTAGAACTGAGGAGAAATGTCCTGATATTTAGAACAATTAATCAGTGGAATGGCTTGTTATGGGTGCTCCAACATTGGAGGTTTTTAAGAAGAGATTAGACAATCATTTGTCTGGAATGGTATAGGGTTTGGACTAGTAGACCTCCAACATCACTTCCAATTCTGTTATTCTGTGATGTGTGTCCCGACATCTCATGCACCTACATAAGTCACAACATTTCCATGCCAACATCATTCCAACATCATTCATTCTCTCTCTCTCTCTCTCTCTCTCTCTCTCTCTCTCTCTCCCTCTCACTGTCTCTCTCTCTCACACACACACACACACTGTTCATGAATTTGTGTTTCTTCCATTTTGGATTAAAGGAAACATCGAACAATTTATCATTTTACCCCTGACTTTGTTATGGGAATGTGATTGTTGCTGTAATCAGCTTTAATATAAAAGCAACCCAGCCAGAACCTTCCCTAATTGATTAATCAGAGACACTGGTTGCTTGATAACAAATTACTTGCCGTTAATGACAAATATCATAATACGTTCATGGTATAATCATGGATTTTTTTTTCTTCCAGCTTATATAGAATTAACTGTCCAAATTCTAATTGCCTTCAAAGAGTAGGCTAGAGGGACTTCACATATTTTGTACATTGCAATCAATACTTTCCATCTGTCTGGATGTTACTTTTCTTAATTTACTGGACTTTCCTTTAGCATTTATTTTGTCTCTTAATTATAAAATGGCATGTTATTGATTTTTGGCATGCAGCCTTATGGAGTTCCCCCAGAGCTATTTTATTGCCAGCCCTGGGGTGAAGGATTTGGCCTTCCTAACGAGAATCTTTATCACCATTAGACTGGTATTAATATGGGGCATGAATTATCATATCTTACTCTTAGAAGATAGGGTTAGCTGGTGAACCTGTTCTAATGTCTCGTAGTTAGCCATTGCATATACCTATTCAGAGCTAAGTCTGCTCTTTATTTTGGATTCATGCTTCAAAGTCATTCATGCTTCAAAGCACTGTCAATTTCCAAGGTTTTCAAAGCTTGTGGCAAGTATATCTGAGGTCATTTGAAGAATATTATGCTCTGCACCACATCTCTTAGTGCATCCCTGGTTATGTAAATAGGTGTAAAATCCAGTTTTTCCACTCAAGTGTAACTGTATGATTCCTGCCAATATTCAAAGCCAGGGGCCAGGTTACATTAGGCACCTTCCAAATGTTGCCATAATCCAGGGTCATATAAACTTTTGTCTAGTAAAAAGAAGGACTAAGGGAGACAGGTTAGCAGTGTTCCAATAATTGAGAGGCTGCCACAAAGAAGGTGGGGTGTCAAACTATTTTCCAAAGCACCAGAAGGCAAGATGAAAAACAATGGATGGAAACTAACCAAAGAGAGAAGCAACCTGGAAACTAAGGAGAGATTTCCTGACAAGTTAGAACAATCAACTAGTAGAACGGCTTGCCTTCAGAAATTGTGGGTGCTTCCATCACTGGAGGCTTTTAAGAAGAGACCTCCAGGTCTCTCTGTTATTCTATGAGTTCCATGAGGCTGAGGACTTCCTACACTCTCCTTTTTTTAAAAAAAAGGGTGAAACCAAGACAAAGAAAAGAGGCCAGGCCAAGATATAACCCACACACTGATTTAAATCAAATTAAATATAGTTCATTGGATCATTTCCCATAATTGAATCATCCCTGTCACTCAAGTATATTTTGAAGATGCTTAGGATTTGTATCTCAGGGTTTAGGTGGTGATATATAGTCTTGGAAAGTGGGTGTGTTTACCCTAAGTCTTGAGATCTGGGGAAAATGGTTTCTTCCACGTCATTCCATGAGACTCCCAATGGCTTCCTTCCATGAGATTCCCAAAGAAAGCTTCTTAGATCAGGCCATGGTGCCCCTTTTGTTTTTTGCATGATGAACCAGATGTCCCTTGGGTATTCACATGCAACTGAAAGAAATACATGTATCTTCATGGTTAGTGTTATTTGAAGTCATTGGCCTTAACTTACAAATAATACAGAAGCTTCATGAGTAATAGCTCTTGACCGCCATGTTCCTCCATTAATTTAAGCAATACCTTTTAAATAAGAGTGTAAGAAGGCCTCCATTGAATCAGACCAAGCTCCAGAGGTGGTATTCAGAAGGTTCTGACCAGTTCTGGAGAACCGGTATCAGAAATTTTGAGTAGTTTGGAGAACCGGCAAATCCCACCTCTGACTGGCCCTGCCCCATCTATTCTCTGCCTCCCATTAAGTCCCAGATGATCAGCTGGGTCTTCTTTGGTTGCCCTGCACAGAAGAACAGAGCTGGAAAGCATGTTAGTGGGGTGGGGAGGGAATGGAGATTTTGCAGTATCCTTCCCCTGCCCTGCCCACCAAGCCAAGCCATGCCGACCAAACCACGCCCACAGAACCAGTAGAAAAAGTTTGAATCCCACCACTGTCAAGATCATCTTAGCTTAGTGTTTGTTTCTCATGGTGATCAAGCTTGAAAGGAGAAGACAGAAACTTGATCTCTCCACAACTATTTCCTTACCAATGGCATTTACTATAACTTGGAAATAACTTCATATCATCAAAATACCTGCACTCTTTAGACTTGTTTTCCAAGAATCTCTCCATTACTTTTTGAAAGCCATCCAAGTGGTGGGATTCAAAAATTCTGTGGGCATGGCTTATTTGATGGGTATGGCTTAGGGTCACATGACTGGATGGGCATGGCTTGGTCATGTGACTGGGGTGGGCATGTGACTTGGTGGGCATGGCTTGGTGGTCACATGACTGGCTGCATGGCTTGGTGGTCATGTGACTGGGTGAGTGTGGCCAACTCATTGTCACTCACGTCA